TATATAATGGTTATTATTATATAATATTTATAAAATATTTGTATATGATTACATAATGTTCATTTAATATTTTTTAATATTTTAATAAATAAATATTATATTATTTAAATTTTGGAAATTCAAGTTATTTTTATGTTTATTAAGAAACGAAATATAATAGCATTTATTAGATAAGTATAAATAATCATTTATTAATATTGAAGTAATAATTATGATATTATAAATATATATATAATATGATCTAATCATTTGACTGTTGTTATCCCAGCACCACCACCTAATCAGCATCGTTGACCATCATTCCCTGACCGCCATTGTCATGCTTCCATTACTTCTCTTTTTTCTTACAAATCTCTACGCAATAATTAGAAGAAGATAAAAGAAAAAATTCCACTCGATGATTTGTCTATATCAACTTGATAAATCTTTCTTGCTTGCCTCTGAAGAGTTCATCTCTTGAGCTGACCAGATCATATTGACTTAGATTGAGCCTCGCTGACTTGGCCTTGCTGGAACTCAACCATTTTGACAAATTGTTGTACATTTTTTTTTAACCATAAATAATCTAGATTATCATAAGGAGATTGATGAAATGAAATTATTATTTTCCGAAAGCTTGATAATAGTTATAGAGATCACATGCCTCATCTAACATTCAAAACGTGCAATAACAGTAATGTTTCTTCAACGACAATGGCTAGGAGTAGATGAGCAGTAGAAACTGGAATTCCTGGCTTCAGACCGTTGGCGCTTATAGATCCTATAAATAAGTCTTGTGTTGTTGCCTTCACATTCTTCATGATCTAGCACTTTAAATAGAACAAAGAGGAAGAAGAAGAAGAAGAAGAAGAAGAAGATATAGAGATGGAGAAGAAACCATGCAATAATGGGGATGGGCTAAATAAGGGAGCTTGGACGGCTCTTGAAGACAAACTCCTGGTCTCTTATATAACTGCAGCAGGTGAAGGCAAGTGGAGAAGTGTTCCCAAGCAAGCAGGTGAAGCGCTCTGTGAGCACATTTATGTTGAAATTAATGCTAACGTACATAAAATATAATAAAATTTTCAAATAAATCGAATAATTTTCAAGCTCATTTCAATACAATTTGTATCAAAATATAATAAAATAAAATTTCTTTATTATTATTTTTCATGCTTTCAAGATAGGTATCACATTTCTATTAGTTAGTTATAAAATCTTTTAATGCCCCAATTAAATGAAACTTTAATATTAGTATATTAAATATTTATATTCGGGTTATATGTTAAATGGCATAATAATTTTTATATACATAATCATTAAATAATAAACAAATTTATATAATAACATGAATTATTAATTAATTAATTAATTATATACATGTATATTTATGACAATGAAGGTATCAAGAGATGTGGAAAGAGCTGCAGGCTACGGTGGCTGAACTACCTTCGCCCGAATATCAAACGTGGAAACATCTCCGAAGAGGAAGAAGATCTCATTATAAGGCTCCACAAACTTCTTGGCAATAGGTTCTCTCTCTCAAGCATAAAACACATTCATACTTTTTCTCTCTCTCCTCTCTCTCTCTCTCCTCTCTCTCTCTCTCTCCCTCCCTAAAGAGAAAAAAGAGAGAGTATATATATGGGTTTAGAGATAGAAAGGTGAACCAAAGAAGAGTCTATATGTTTGCTATTATAAATTTAAACAAATGTATTATTAACATAAGAAATTTATGGCAATTAATACTTAATTATCTAATAGTCTCTTACAATTGAATCCATATATATACTTCAACTATAAAGAGTTGAAGTCATAGATTTAATGCACAATAACTTTACATTGAAAGAATTATATAAAATCACAAGCAAATGTACCCTTGAAGGCAAAAATTCTTAATTAGTTGCATAGGAAACACATAAAATTACATAGTCCATGTATTAATGCTAATCATTGATTGTGATTTAGGACTTAATAATTACGTGTAAATCAAGTTTTTTTTATTAATTTTTAATGATAATTGGAACATTAATCAATTAATTATAAAAAAAATCAAATAACTTGTAGAAACTTTTTTAAAGTTTTAATCTTAATCATATTTTGATTATTAATCAAAATTATTCAGTACATAATTAATATCGTCAATGATCCATTTATTTAATTTAAAGCTATTAAGGGTTTTTGTATTATAAAATTCAGGGTTGTCTGCTTGAAATAAAATGAGTGTAAAGTATTTCAAATGTAAGAGTTTTAAAAATATTGGTGTTATTCAGGGGCTATTTGGTTGGCTAAAAATATAAAGCATGGTAATAGAAATGCGGTGTAAAATGAATATTTTGATATTATTTGGATGAATGTAAAATAAATATAACTTTTTTTTTTTATGTAAAATGAATGTAGTGTAAAGTCAGAAGATGGTGGTAGCAGTGAGCGATCATAGCATGGCGGGTGGTGGCGGCTGTTGACGAGTGGCAGTGTGGTGACGACTGATGGCCGGCAGTGGCTCGTGGCCAACGAGCAGTGGTTGGTGGGGCCAACTTAATTTTAACGTTCTCAAAATAACATAAAAATACATCAACTGATATTTAAAAAAAACACAATTAACTTTGTCAGCCTTAATATTTATTTGATGCTAAAAGGCATATTGAATGTTATAATTTTTGGTGAATATGGTGGAAACCCTAAGGATCTTCTATCATTTGACCAAACCTCAAAAAACTTATTTTCTACAAATCAACTGTATGGGCTTTTTTATTCAAAGTTTGATTATGACAAAATTTTATTTATATAATTTATTTTGAGATTAGTGCAATATAATAATTGATTGGAAAATAAATTTAATATAAAAAATAGAAGTTGTTTGATTGATTTAATTAGTAGGGTATTGTATTTTATGTTTCTGTATTTCAAAATTTTAAGAATTTTATTTGAAAAATAATAATAATAATAAATTTAAGAGATTTGAATTACTCGGGTTAAATAACATCAAATCAAGATATCCTTAATCAAATTTTCAACGCAAGTATGTTGTGAAAAGAAAACTTGTGTCTCGATATTTTGACCAAAATTTGGTAATGGCAGCTTTATAGTCGCATATTTGCTTTGAGATGAGTGTAATATAAATTTTGTATGATTAGCGCTCAAGTATTATACTAATCTCAAATTAAATGAAATGACTATTAAATTATTCTCATTAAATTTTAGTTAAAACATCTAACTAAAATATTTTTTTTTTCATTTTTGGAAGGTGGTCTTTAATTTTACTTATCTCAAAGTAAATTAAACGAACTGACAGGTGGGCTTTAATTGCCGGAAGGTTACCTGGCCGAACTGATAATGAGATCAAGAATTACTGGAACACAACTCTATCTAAGAAGGTGCGAACTCAAAATTTTGCAATTAATAAGCCAAACAATAAGCCATGGGGACACAACTCAAAACCTCAACAAAATGCTACTTCTTCGACCTCTATCCCTACTTTGATTCAAACGAAGCCATTGAGGTGCACAAAAGCTTCTCATCCCTACTTTCCATTACAAATTCCATCTTCTATAGATGGCGTTGATCAAACCCAACAAATAATCCAGCAAAACTTTGGAGATGAAATAATGGAGGAGGAGAAGAAAGAAAGTGCAATGGTGAACAATAATGATCTGCTTTTTTTTTATGATGCAATGTGGACTGATGAATTGGAATTTGAGAATTGGAGCAAAGGGGGCGATGATTATGATGGAATTCTATGTAATGATGATTGGTTTTATGGCTCATCAGACACAGATATTTGGCAAAATTTTTGATATGTAAGAAAAGGATTCTGTTAAGCTATTAGTATGGTGGCATTGTAGTAAACATGTGGAGAATATGTGTTCAAGTAATGTTTTCCCTAATAAAGAAATTGTGTAAGAATCAATGATGGAATTAGAGAGGGATTTGATGACTCTCACCATTCCAAATATATATATTAAGAAGGTTTACCTTCTCTCTTAAATTTTGTATGATCATTTAATTTTTCTCTCACTTAAAATTCTAATTATGTTGTTGATTACAATATATATGTTGAATGAAAAATTATTGATGCTAAAATTGCTCAAAGGATACCATGCATTAAATATAATGGAGTGCATTAATATTATTAGGTCTGTTTGAATATTTACATCATCAAACTGATTGATTTTATTCTAACAATAAGCAGAATAATTTGTATACATTGACACAAATCCAAATTTGTTTTGTGATGCACAAATCATCATTTTATAAAACATTTTTTGAAATGCAATTGTTGGACATAGTCTATATATAAGAAACCAACATACATCTAATGATTTGTTTCCATTATAGTTGTAATAAGTCACTTTATTAAATCTTAATACCTTTGACAAAAATTTATTGCTAATTAGTCCACCTTTATCAATTATAATCATTTTATTTGTTTTTTTTCCTAAGCCTCAAATGGAGAATATCTTAAACATGAAGCATTGCTATTGTAGATTATCAATTTACATGTTATCAAATGAAAACTCAGTCTATATCAATAATCAAGAAAGCATGATCATCACATTTTGATAAAAAGGAGAAACTTATCAATAGTGGAGTTAAAACTCCCTATCTTGTAGATTAGCTTTAGTTGAGTGAAGAAACTAACAAAGATACAATTTATCACTCTTAAGGAGTTATGACTCATTGAGGAATAAATTAATGATAAGTTAAAATCCTAAAAATATTTCTATATCAACTTTTTAAGCATAGTTATAATAAATCAACACCTAAACTTATTGATGATGGATTTATCTATATGTGTGCATGTTATTCGTAATCATGTGTTGCTATGACAAAGACAATTTTCCTTTTGTATGAATCCATGTAATTCTCTACCACATTCAATGATGTTAGTATTAATTACCTCATTTATAATAGGATAAACCTTATCAACAATGCTACATGTTGCACAATATATTACTTCTCATCATTGGCGAACAATAACAAGTTGGCGCAATAATAATACTATATTTGCATATGCTTATAGAGAAATCAAGTTATTAGCTTGCATTATATTCTTATAAGAAGTATTCTTTCAATAAAAAGAAAAATCAATTAACTCAAATTAAAGCATAATTTGAGTTCTCAAAGCTCTCTTTTATGATATCCCAATGATTCAATGAAAGCATACAAAGAACAATGCCTTCAAAAAAGACTTTGAAACTCACAAAGTAATTAAAGACTAGAAAAGAAAAAAATATTGTATGGGATTGGAGCACCATAATATTATTTTTCATTAGCACGAGAAACTTTTGAGAAACTTTTCAAAAATTCATTTTAAAATGCATTCAACAAAAGCAACAATTTTGGGTCATGAAAAGGAAGAAAGTATTTTGTGCGGAGACCAGACAGCGAGTACCGTTTAGTTTTACTGCGCTTTTACAAATACTCAATAAAAGTGCAGCAAATATTCAATTATGAATGTGTTTTTACTGAGTATTTATTATGCTTTTGAAAATACTCAGTAAAAGTGCGTCAAATATTTAGTATATGATGCACTTTTACTGAGTATTTGTAAAAACGCATCAAATACTCAGTAAAAGAGCAGCAAATCCTAACGGTTCTCGCTGTCCAGTCTCCGCACAAAACTTCATCAAAGGAGGATTGTGTACTTATGAATTAAAATCCTCTTTTACTATTCTTTATTTTATGATAATTACATGTTGAGCCCTCAATTAAAAACAAAATTATAGCAAAAAAAAAGAAGAACAAAGAGAATTATAACATATAGAAAAACATATAATGAATTTAACTTATTAGATGTAAATGGAACCTCCGAACGACTTGATATAAGAGGCAACTTTCAAGATCGTTCTAGCCATCTATAATTGACTGGGAGCCATTCGACAAGGCTCCTACACTTTTTCCCAAAAAAAAAGAAAAAGAAAAGAAAAGAAAGAAAGAAAAACATTATTTATAATACATCAATAATTTATCGTTGTTGAAGAACACCAACTCATTAATTAGGATGTAGATGTAAAATAAACTAAGAGAGGTTGTGGCTCCAAGGCTATATCAATGGCATGATACCATCATATAGATCTAGTAATGATCACATGTGTTTTTCTTGCTTTATCAATAACCCTAAAAAATAATACTACATGTAACTTCATCATATAGTCAATTACTTCATCAAGAAAGTAATACACAACTCTCAATTCAAATGACAATAATTAGAAATGTATTGTCAATCACTATAAAAAAAATAAATATTGAGCGACGAACTGAGGGAATGCTAAAAGAAGACTCTCAAATTCGAGCAATTATTACGTCCCGTCATTGAATGCGTTCAGAGACCAATAACCACGCGCCACGTCACCTAAAACTTGGTATTAAGCACTCAGTATTGCTAGGTATACATTCAGATACGTTCAGATTTCACTCGGTATTGACGTAATAATTTCTCCTCAAATTCTCTCTTGTAAATCCAAGCTATTATCTTCTAGCAAAACATCTTCCTACTTAGAACTAGCTCTCTCAAATATATACATACAAACAAAAAATTTTTTTTAATGATGAACTTACGTTAAGAAAGGTAGGGGTAGACCTAAAAAGACTTGGTTAGAAAATATTAGGAATGACCTTTCTTTATTAGATTTAAACGAGAATTTGACTTTTAATAGGACACAATGGAGAAAAAGGATTCATGTAGCCGACCCCACGTAGTGGGATAAAGGCTTGATGTTGTTGTTGTTGAATGATGAACTTAGATCATAAGATTAATGTTTCGTTTGGGACGACTTTCTTATTATTTCTTAAAGCGATTTTCTAGTACATAAGTTTTAGTTTTTGTACTAAAAATTATTTTAAGAAACAATAAAAAAAATATCACAAACGAAATCTAAATCTTTTAAATATTTGTATTTTTCATAGGTGATTCTCTTCCACCTTATTACTTCCTACTCAAAGCATCTTTCTTGCATTCTTTGGATGCCCACAACACCTAAGCTGAAAATATAATGATTTTTTGTGTATGATAAGTATTTTTTTAAATGAAAATTTAGATTTCATTTAGGATAGTTTTCTTACTAGTTTTTACAACAATTTTCTAGTACAAAAATTTCAAGCCGCTCGATTCGACTATAAGCATGTCATATTGGGATATTAATTTGTCATCCAATTAATGCTTTAAAACTTTTGAATAAACTTCAGTAATTTGATTCGAGTCCATTTGAACTCGAATTGGATCGATTTTGGTGTCATCGGGTTCGTTTTGTCGAAAACTTTAGTATTGATACGTCATTATGAAATTAACTTGATCGGGCACGAATCTCGAGGCAAAACCCAACACGGAAACTTCAAAAAATAAATACGGGAGCACTCGAACTCCGATTTCAGCAAGCTTACAGTCAAACTGAGCGTCTCAGAAATACAAACACAACACACCAAATTCAACTCAATCCGAGTCCAAGTGAGCCCAAATCAAGCGCCCGAAGTGTTGTTGGAAAGCTCGTATCATAATTTGAGGTACTAAACGGTCTCCGATTTTAACGAGCTTATACTCGAATAGAGCAGCTCTACGAGAAGAATCCAACGAGCCCAAGATCGTCAAATTCCGACATCACTAAGGCCTTCAAATGTCCAATGAATGGTGCACGATCTTAGGATTCAATATCGACGGTCCATTCGACCACTCCCTATTCGCCCCTGATCTCAGGCCTATTTATGGGCCACGCCACTCCAGAAAATCTATAAATATAGCCATCATTTCTCATGAGAGAGGGTCCAAGCAAGAAGAGGAGAGGAGAAGAGACGGAAGAAGCTCCTCCTCGACCACCGCCGGAACTTCGCCGAACCACGGCGGAGCCTCGCCGGACCACCACCGGAGCCTCGCCGGAGCCTTGCCGAACCACCACCGGAGCTTCGTCGCACCACCACCTGAGGCCCTCACCTTCACCTGAGGCCCTCACCTTCGCTAGAGGCCCTCACCTTCGCCAGAGGCCCTCACCTTCGCCAGAGGCCCTCACCTTCGCCAGAGGCCCTAACATTTGCAGAGGCACTCACCTTTGCCATAGACCCTCACCTTCGCCATAAGCTCTCACCTTCACCTAAGGCCCTCGCCTTTGCAAAAGGCCCTCACCTTCAACTGAGTCCCTCACCTTCACCTGAGGCCCTTACCTTCGCCAGAGGCCCTTGCCTTCGCCATATCATCATCAAATGTCATGTGCTCCACCAGAACATCACATGAGACCCAGACTTCCGTCGGACCACTACTTGAGCCCTTGAGCTCCACCAGGACACCACCTGATGCCCAGAGTTCTCCCAGAATACTGCTGACTATGGTCCTTCAGACCTTCATCACCTACTACGGTCTTTCCGACCTCAATCACCGGACAACGGTCTTTCAGACCCCAGTCTCCTGCCGACTACGGTCCTTCCGACCTTCGTCACCTACTATGGTCCTTCTGACCTTCATCAACTGACAACGATCTTTCTGACCCAGGTCTCCTGCCGACAACGGTCCTTTCGACCTTCGTCGCTTACTATGGTCCTTCCGACCTTCATCAACAAACAACGGTCTTTCTGACCCCGGTCTCTTGCAGTCTACGGTTCTTCCAACCAAACAAACATATATATGTAACTCCCACAACGTAATACAATCTATATGATGTACATTTTCTACATCAATCCAAGGCCTTCTCCTAAGGAAGGGCCTCATTTGTAATTGACTGCAAATACTAGTGGATTCATTCAAACTGGGTCAGACCCCGTGATTTTCCCCCTTTTTAGGAGTTTTTCATGTAAAAACTCTGGTGTCTCTTATGAATGTTACACCCTCTCACTTTTCTGATTGTGTGCTGGATTTTCGTACAATGCTAAGACATTAAACTATATATTTCTCTACCGCCGCAAATACTCCAGGACGCAACAAGTATAACTATAAATTTGCTAAGATTGGTATTCGTATGGTCACAAATTGAATTTTTTAGATTCAAATATATCTTTAGATTTGTGCTAGATCAATATAATTTTTGATGAAATATCAAGTCTCACTTAAAGTTTGGCCTTCAGAGTCTAGGCCAAGGTTTGGGCCTGCGCTATGTTTGGGCTGGGCTGCAGAACGCTCCCGACCTGATGGCCCAGACAATTCAGTAATAGAATAATAGATGTCTCAAAAAAATAGGATAATAGAAAAAGAACGGGAAATTGCATCGATTTCTCTTTGGAGCTTAGGGTTTTGGCGGAGCAGGGAAATCACTTCGACCGCCCAACCTCTTCGTCGTAGCAACCATGAGCAGGTCTGGCCAGCCTCCGGATCTCAAAAAGTGAGTCTTTCTTCCTCTTCCCCTCCCTGACCTTTAGTCCTTCATTACTGATTCGGTGAATTACTCACGTTTATCATCTTCTTGTTTGTTTTTTCTCTGTCTGGATGTCAAAACGGTGTTGCAGGTACATGGACAAGAAGCTCCAAAGTGAGTTCTTCTTTTCTTTCTCATTTTAGATGCTCCGTAGCTTTGTTTTACCCCGTATCGTAATGAATTTGTCTAAAAATCTAGATTTGTATTAGTTTAATTGTTTTCTGTTGATTTAAAATGATTTGAATGGCGCCCATCATGAATGTTGGCCTTGGATTTTTTTGTTCCGTTTATAAGATTTGGTTTAATTTTCTTTGTGGTTTCATAAAAACTAGATGATTTAGCATGCAAAGAGGACACGTGACTTAATATAATCTAGGGGGATTAGGACACTAAATTGTTAGATATGTGAATATAAACGTGTGGTGTTAGATATGTACACAAGACTTTTGTGCTATGATTGAGACACTATAATTTATTGCAACATACAGTAAGGAAATTACCAGTGGCATGCTATCGCAGACCTCCAATTGTACCATTGAATTCATTTTGGATATTTTCCTTTCTATTTTTCATTTTTATGATTAATTTGCAATGCTTATGTTGTTTATATTGTTAGGGAGATTTGACCCTATAAGAAATTATATTTTTGAAAACCTTTCCTCGGCTATAATAGTCTAATTCCTATTTCGATTATTAATAGATCTATGCCATTCTATTTAAAAATGAATTTCTTTCATTTGGGATTTTTCTGAATTTGCATTGAATAGTCTTGGTTGGTAAAGGAGGTGTGCACTTTGACAAGAAAAACATAGGAGCATTTGAAGTGTGGAATAACCATTTTGTTACACGATCAAATTTGTCTTCTTTTGAGAGAAATATCTCCTTTGCAACTTTTTTTTTGCTTGGTTTAATTAAATATAATTTGAGGGATCTAACACTTAGAATACATTAATCGACATACTAAATTTAAGTTGAACACGACAAAGTGCATGAATAGATAAGGGCGTGGAGAGAAGCAGAAAGTAAGTTAGTGCATGACCAAGAGTTGGGAGGGGGAATCAAGTACACAAATAATGGTTGGTACTCAGGACAAAGAATCTTGATTCACAATTGAGAGAAAAGAGAGGCACACAACTGATCAATGGCTTGGGGAACTCAAAATTTCTTTGTAATACTTAGGTCATACTATTATGTGACTTAAAAATTCTAAATCTAGTAGATGGCTTAATTGAAATGGAAAGATAGCTTTTAACAATTGATGGGAGGATGATCAAGGACAACTTAAAAGTCGACACAACATAAACATGACTTGATTGAGCATGCGGTGAATGATTTGTCATAAACATAATGATAGTGGATGATTGGAATAGAGTTGAACATGATAAGAAAGCTTAACAACAACAACAACAACAACATCAAGCCTTTATCCCACTACGTGGGGTTGGCTACATGAGAAAGCTTAGCGCAACCAAAAAAAAAAGTTGGGGAAGGAAAAAAAAAGCTAATACACAATTGAAGGTTAAAAGAGGGAAATAAACACATGGTCAATAGAGCCCTGCATTGGGTACCCATACCCACACCCACCCATGTATCCACTCATACCCAATGGGTATTGGTGGGTATCGGTACACCCATTGCCTTGTGGGTGGGTATGGGTGGATACTCAATATTGGAGGATAAATCAATTTACATTGCTAATCATCATATATATTATATTACTGCAAGACTCACTACATAGTGTGCAACACTTACTATGACTATAATAAATTTTGATATGTATCTTGAAAGTTTGCAATCAGAGCAAAGGGCAATAAGGCCATCAATCCGTGGCAGACTGCGTTCAAAAAACATGGAAAGTGGGTGGGTATAGGTGGGTATGACATCCCGAAAGTTACCATGGGTGGGCTTGGGTGGGTGAAAGCCCGTCCGAGTAAAGCATGGGTACCCAACTACGACCCCATGTAGGGCTTTGATGGTCAAGGGTCGGAGTAAGAGCTTAGTACACAATCAAGGGAGGGAAGAGAGGAATCAGGAGATTTTGGAGCTCATTTTTTATTTAGAAAACATTTCTTACTAGTGTTGTTAAAATTGAGCTAGGCACTAACCTACTCATTCGAATGAGGCATGGTGAGGCCATAGTGCCTCGTGAATTTCCTAGATGGGCATCATAATGAAGGTGTACTTAGACAAGCACCTAGCTTTAAGGTGTCAGACGGTGAGGCGGTGAGATGAGTGTCTTGCCTTGATTTCAGAGAAGGGTGCTCATAACTTAAGTATTGAAGTTGATTTTATTTTTATGATGAATTTTTTATATGAGATAATGTAAAATGAACATCAAGAGTTTGAAGAACAAGTGGGCATCTTGGAAACAAGTTAATCTAATGTAGATGTGAGAACTAAAGTTCTAGAGTACTACTAATGAAGATAAAGAGAATGAATACAAGGAAACAGATGCAGAGAATGAGGGGTTATAAATCTGTTGATAGAGAAGAGAGCATACATGATTATGAAGGTGGAACAGATTATTCACAAGATTACATTATCTTTAATATATACATGTTAAAAACTTAAGTGCTTTAACTAATCTTGCTTTAAATAATATATTAAGCAAAATTTTCGAACTTAGAGCATAATGGAGCTTGAAAATTCTTTATTTTGTCCAATATTAACTAATGTGATTATTTTCATTTTATACTCTTCCAAAGTATTCCTCCTGTGAAATAAAATTATAAGTTGCATAGACATTGCTATTTAAGTGCCCCGCTTTGCTTGTATTAGCACCTTTGGGCATCTAATACCTCAGGCATTTGGTAACTATATTGTCCTGGGTGCACCTAGCATTTTTAATAATATTTTTACTTTCAAAACCCTTTGAGTCTGTCTACACTACTATTATAAAAGATGCTTAAATCATTGTCTTTAGAATTTCTCAACCGTTCATTTTCTTAAGAGCAATCACTACCATCCAATTTGGTTCACCTATATTCATTTAAATAGTTGGTAACCCCACACATCTTTTAATTACTAAGTTTCATGTCTCTTCATGTACTGAAATATCAAACAACACATCCCTCGGCTAAACACCTATGGCTTCTTATCATTTTAAACACCTCTTCGCCATGGTTTCTTATAATTCTTCAATCAAAACCTAACTTATACGCTCTCTGATTGTTGTTGGCCTTAGAAAAGGACAACAACAAAGCCGCCCCTCTTACCCTTTACAATTATCTTCTTTACTCTGACAAACCACTTGTTCATGAGGGCCAATGACTCTTTTGTTTTCTGATAACTGAATAATTTTAACCTCCTTGTGCAATTGCGACAATAACACCGTTTTATCTTCTGCTTTCCCTTTGATGGCATACAAGATGAATTTTGATTCCATGTTGCCGCTCTCAAATCTCATTCGATTTGAGCTACTTCAAAGTTGATGATAAGTAAAAGAGGAGGAAACATATAAAGCTTATTAGGTCAGCTGTATATGATGGCTTGAGATTTTACAGAGCCTGAGCGAATTCACAGATAATATTTGAATGGTAGGTAGATATATAAGAATTTAATTCATTACAGCTTGTGCTTTATTCTGTTATGACTGATTTATCCATAAATAATGCATAGTAAATGAAATAACTATATTTATTATTTATTGTTTAAATAGTGGTTTGGTAGTACATGATTGTAATGATCACAAAAAATAAATCCATGTTATATTTCAAATATTTAAGAATGTCATACTTAATATATAAATATATATATATATTACTTAATTGAGTAATATATATTTTTATTTAGTGTCCTAAACATTAATCATGCGCAACTTGAAGTACTTAATGATGCTATTTTATCTAAGCAGGAATGTAACCATGCTTAATGAATCAAAAGTGCCATCAGAATGTGATTAATTAAAAATGTCTTTAACATTTTTTTTCATTTTATTCGTTAACTTATTTTTACGACTCCTGCATTAGTTAATTAACAAATTAAATAGTAATTAATATGATGATTAATTAATATTTAATAAATTGCATTATTATTGAATTTTGTCATGCATGAATTACTAAACATCTAACACCCTAAATTTTTTATTTACTTAACTAACGCCTAAAACGTTCAAGCACATCAACTCTATCACTCCAGCTGCCGCTGTAACCCCTTGGCTAACTCCGTGGTGAATTCTCCTTCACCACAGACTAAGCCTCTAAGCTTATAGATAGAAAAGATAAGTGGAAGGAACTATATAAATGAGAAAATATGTGAAAGGAGTAAAGAAGAAAACCTCAAATTAAAAAAAAAAAGCACTGAACACCTAAATTTTAATCCTTAGAATCCAAAAACTCAAAATTTTTACTGCATGATCCTTGGAGCACAAAAAATCATAATTTTTGTTAGGAACAGGGAAAAAATTAAATCATATAAAAGAACAAAATTTGTTTAAAAGTTATAACTAAAAGAAGAGGATACGCTCTTGTACCCCAACACTAACCATTTCATCATCAACGCTATTGGAAGCACTGGTGAATTGCGGACGACTGGACTGAGGGCAAATTGGAGCCATTGCTGATGATTGCACTAAAGAAGGCTAGGGTAGCAATAAGCAACTGTCCAGAAATGGACTAACCAAACCAGAGAAGTTTAAGGATAAGTATAGAGCAATGGAAGAAGGTTTGTAGAAAATATTCAGATAATGGGTTACAGTGGAAAGGAGAATCAGTGATTCAACTAGGATTGAGTCAAGATGAGGGGTTACAGCAGCAGCTAGAGTGATAGATTTGATGTATGTAAAAGCTTTAGGCTTTAGGTAAGTAAATAGAAAGTTTAGGGTGTTAGATATATAAATTATGATATTTGAAGCAGTATGTATGTAAATCTCCTTACTTTAAATTATTAGCCACATTCACTTTGAGAACATTATTTTGTACTAGTTATAGGAAAGGCCTATAAGTCAAAAAGTAATTTTGAAAGCACATATACATCTAATTGAGATAGGTGGCACATTAACCGTGACAAATAACTTAAAAAGAAAACTAAGAACACAGTGTAGAATATGATAAATAAGCATGACATGATTGAACATCCAATAGATGGTCTATAGTTCACCATGATCTATATGTCGAAATATTGGAGGACAGATTGAGTATCAATCGCATTCCATTTAGAAGGAAAAGGTGGACTCTTCTGGCTTAGTGTTCACTGGGGAAAGAAAAGAAAGGCGCATTTTTATAGTTTAAAGGGGTTTTAACTAGTTTTGGTTGCATTGTGGGTTTAGATTTGGGATAAGATTTGGTTAAGGGTATATTTTGTCAGTGGTTGGAGTAAGCCATGGGAGATCTAAGAGGGTGAATCATGTTGGATAGAGGCTAAGAAAAACAGATATTCAAATGCTCCATGGATGCTTTGATTTTGATCTTTAACTTGGAAAATTTGGGCAAATTATTAGGTCCGGTCACCGGACAGAGAGAATCATCCGAATTTCTCTCTATCTATAATAAAAGCACAGTCAAAGCGCAGCTGCTACATGAACTGCGATTTACTGTAGACAGAGAGAAATCCGAATGCATCTTCTCTATCAGGTGACCGGACCTAATAATTTTTCGAGAATTTGTGGGGATTTCCATGGATATGGTATCTCAGGAGTTTGAATATTTAGAAGAAGCACAACAATGTCATTGAAGCATTAGATGAGGAGGAGCGCAAGCTTTTTAAAGAGGAGGAAGAGAAAAAGATAGATACATGACCTTATAGAGGGGAAGGAGCGAGAAAATGAGAACAAGTTGTTGCACAACCGGGTGTGGGAGAGGTATTGATCTTCCTCAAATCAATCGTAAAGCTGTCCTTCCCAATATATACCCTCCCAATCTCGTTGCACTAGACAACCGTAGATCTATAACATACAGATCAAAATATTGATGGAAGTTGGACTTAGTTAAATCTTGTTTAAGCGAGCAAACACAAATCTTCATCATGTGATTTTGGATTTTTAAATGCAAGTGTTATAATTTCAAGATCTTGATGGGAAATATATCATAATATCCTAACAAATGAAATCAGACACAAGCACAAACACACAAGTGAAAAAGCTATTTGAAATCTTTCAATTTCATCATTCTTTACATATTAAGGTCGATTTTTTATTGCTTCTTAAATCAGCTTTCTAGTACAAAATTTTATTTTTGTGCTAAAAAGCTGCTTTAAGAAGCAGTAAGAAAACCGTCCCAAACGAAAGTCTAAATTAACTGTTTCATTTTTCTTACCTCTCACTTTTTTTTTTCAGTCAAGTTGAATGCTAATCGCACCGTCATCGGCACCTTGCGTGGATTTGACCAATTCATGAACCTTGTGATTGACAACACTGTCGATGTGAGTGGCAACGAGAAGAATGATATTGGAATGGTGGTATGTAATCATCACTTAAGTTCCATCTATCCACCTATTGAAAAATTATTACACGTGGTGTCTGAACACGTCCTAGGGTCAATCCGGACGCGCCACGTTACCCAATGAACAGTGCATCGAATGACGTGACACATCCGGATTAGTCTCCGGATGCATTCAAACACCACACAGAATAATCTCTCCCATCTATTTGCGTCCATTCAAAGCTTCCTTTTTTTCTGTTAATATTCTTTTGCTGTTTTGTTGGAAAACTGAAGGTTATCAGGGGTAACAGTGTGGTCATGATCGAAGCACTCGAACCAGTAAGCAGATCACAGTAGCCCTTCTGATCCTTGGAGCTATTTATACTGGCTGGGACTATATGATGTACTTCTAACTAGATTTTTAGAATGTTTGTGACTGTCTGGCGTCTATGAACGCTTTTTTCTTCTTGCTGCTGCTCGGTGGGTTTGTCTTTCATGGAATTATCATCAAATCTCTTAAAATGCCCAAATTTGTAACCTGCTGGATGGTGATTAAGGGCCGTTTGAGATTTCTGTAGTCTTTTTTTTTTTTTTTTTGTATAATTAGTTGAATTGTTATGAAACAAAATAAATGTGTGCTAGGTAGCTTATCACAGCTTATTGATTCGGCGTTTTGGTTTTAGGCTTCGGTTGAAATAGTTTTTTATCATTATTTTTTTCGTTGCTTTTAAAAAAAATTGAATTAAAAATTCTAGTGTAGAAAGTGGCCAGAAAATTATTCCAAATAAAATCTTAGGCTTTTTTTACCATTGTTTTTTGTTTTTTTTCAAAAAATTATTGCAGCAAAAAGCTCATTTTAAAAAATGCTCAATATACAATAAAGAGGATGAGAGCATTAAGAATAATTATTAATATTTTATGATGCATATTTTTCTTAAATATTGTGAGCTTCCATTGGTACCTTTTTGTTATTCATGGCAATATGCCATGCATGTAATTCGATCATCATTGTTACTATTGCGTATTTATGTATGTGAATTTAAAAATAAAAAAATATATATTAAAAAAAATTTTGAACTTAAAATTTTACTATCATTTGCCAAAAAACTTATTGAGCTATTAGAATCAATTCATTCAACTAGGTTTGTTTTCAAAAATTGCAAGATTTGCTTCTGATTTTTCAAAAATTTGGGTTTCATTTGAGATAGCTTTCGTATTTATTTATAAAGCAATTTTTTAGAACAAACCAACATGATCAATCACGAGCCCCAATCGTAGGGCTACTGTGCCCTTCGCAATGGCGAATGGTAATATCAAAGTGATAGGAAATAAAGACTACCAATTCTTCTAATCATCGCGCCTTTCGAGCATAAGTGATACGTCGATGTCGATGTTGATGATGGATCAATGATGTGCATTAGCGCTATGTTTATTTAATATGTACACACAATAACTCCTTTATAAATGCAATGCATACTAAATTATTTTAGTTTTTTAGATCAAATATTAATTTATTATCTTCGTTATGAAGATTATTAAATTATAAAAAAGCTATAACAAAAAAAAAACATATATATATATATATATATATATATTTCTTAGGTTTATTGTATAGCCATTTAACTTCATGAGCGTTTCTTTTATATTATATTAGTATATCCTTTTCTTATTTTATATTAAAAACTTGAGGACATTATGCAAATTATATATACTGCCCAAAACTGGTGGCTTGTAATTTGATAAATTTTATTGGCCTTTTAGGGATAAAAACAAATAAAATACTTATTACAATGGAGGGGAGGAAATCAACCCTTCAATCTCTGACGTAGATGAATATGGACCGTTTGATTTAGTTCCAAGTAGCATCCCTCCTTATAAGCCGATTTCTGTGTCTCGCATCCATCCTAGGGTTTTCTTTCACCGAAATTGACGACAGCAGAAGCTTGCGCGGCTGCGGTTTGCCTCCGTCATTTGCCGATCCCGCAACCATGGCAGCCCAGATGAGCAAGAAGCGTAAGGTCGGAGCTTTTTTCTCTTGAATATCAACCATTGGGACTTCTCTACGTTTTTCTTTTTCTGCTTTGATGTATAGTTTGAATAACAAGTATTGTGATCAAAACATTCTTTCTGATAACTAGAAGGATTTATTTTGTTTTAGATATCCTATATCTTGGGTTGTGTTTTTTGAACTTTCAGTTTGTGGCTGATGGGGTTTTCTTCGCGGAGCTGAACGAAGTGTTGACTCGTGAGCTAGCGGAGGATGGATACTCCGGTGTGGAGGTCAGAGTTACTCCCATGAGGACTGAGATCATCATCAGGGCGACCCGCACTCAGAACGTTCTAGGTTTGACCCCACTTAATCATTTGCCTTTTATCTGGTCGACTCAAGGGTTTTTTGGCTTATTAAATGTCTGAGTTTTGGGTTTGTGCACCCACAGGTGAGAAGGGGAGGAGGATTAGAGAGTTGACGTCAGTTGTGCAGAAAAGATTTAAGTTTCCAGAGAACAGCGTTGAGCTTTATGCTGAGAAGGTTAATAACAGGGGGCTCTGTGCCATTGCCCAGGCTGAGTCTCTCCGCTATAAACTTCTGGGAGGTCTTGCTGTCAGAAGGTTTGCTATTTTCATTTGCTTGTTTTTCATTTATTTTATTTAAATATTTTGCTTATTTGTACTCTTTATGATTCTACTGCTTCTCTAATTTAGTCCTGTAATTTAAGTTCTCATTTGAGCGTGGTTATATGGGCTTGTGTTTTATTTAAGTAATTTCTTTTTAATGCATTTTTCCCGTTATGTTTCTATTAAGCGATTGTCCTTGTATTCACTAAGTAAATGTTTTAATTTTATTCACAGTTATTTGCTTCTATTGAGAAGATCTTGGTTAATCCTATTTTTTGTGTTAAGATATTTTAAGTATTTATTTCATGTTTATAAAAGATCATATTTAAAGCATTTTCTATTAACTTCAATCTTTCTTTCTTGAGCACCCGCTATTTTGTCCCGTTCATCTCATGGTCACAAGAGATGCATTATAGATTAAGCCAAGTTTAATACGTACTGGCTTTTATGGTCTAGTTGTGTGTCTTGGTTGTTTATATAACATTCTACCACAAGTATGAATTATTAGTGATAGAGGTGTGAATGGATATGATTTTGATATCTTACTTATTTATTTCTTGTTCCTTCTTGATAAATATAATCTTTTCTTGTATTTTGTAGCTTAGAAATGGATATGGATCTGCGTTCTGTTCTTTTATTTTTTCTACGAGTAAGACTAGTAACCAAAAGGTTTTAGTTTTATTTTTTTGTGTTGGCTGATCAATATAAAAGGTGGCATACCATTATATTATAGTTACTAAATGTTTCTTCGGATTTGCAACAAGTATTTTTTGGTAAACCAAATTCTTTTATAAAATTTCGCTTATGCCACTCCACTTGATCAGCAGTGGCATTGTGAAGAATTTAGTTGAAGGCTTCTTTGGTTGTTAGATGTAACATTACTGCAAAATAAAAGATTTTCATGGGTTTTTATTAGTTTGATGTTTGCAAGGGCTTCAACTAGTTCCATGTTTGGTTCAGGGCAAACTCTTGAACTAGTGAAAATAGTTAGCACTCTAAACTACCTTCATCCTCCTATTCAAGTGTTAGACTACATTTGTTTTTCTTTGCAACACTGTTTGAAAATTTATATGGCAATATTTTTCTTGAGGTTTCAATGTTTTCTTTTTTTTGCTGATACTTCTATTGTATATTGTCCGAGTCAATGACAACCTTCTTATTCACTTTAAACTCTTTTTCACTCGCACACTAGCTTACGAACTTGGCGGCGGCGAAATATTTCAAGGTGTTGCTTGTGAAAAAAAAAATCCTAAAAGAATCATGCCACTTGCTAATCCCCCATCATTGCCACCTACTATTTTTCTCTCTTTTGCTACTGCTAGTCTTCTAGAATCCTATCGTGGCCCATAGGGTTAGTTGGCTCCTAAAATTTTGGAATTATAATGATTGAAAGGGATGACAAGCATCAACAATCATGCAGTAACATATATTCTTGCCATATAGTCAGAAAAATTTGCATAATCAGAGGAATTAGATAGACAACTTCATACCAAGCATAAAAGCCACCAAAATGGTGAGAGCATAACTATTTCACCGCCATATTAACACATTCAATTTAACATTTGCAATGTAGATTCACTAATAGTACTTATCATATGCAAGGTTGAGTTAGATATGCTAAGATTCTTATACCAGTTGACTATATGTCTTAAAATTGTAATTCCTCCATAGGTTAAGGAAACTCAATAAAATTTGCTGCACTCAAAGCTAAGCTTGAGCATCACAACACTAATTGGACCTATAAATTGATTCATCTCAAGTGGCAGATCTTGCTCAGGTATCACATTAGAAACATTTTCTTGCTCAACTTCTAGCAATGTATTACATTTGGGTAGTAGTTCTAGAATCATTTTCAAAAGTCAAAGCATATTAGTGAATAGTCCGTTGTCATTGTAATAATTATTTAGAGTAACTATTGCTAGAGGGGGAAGAATAATAAAATTCTAGCTAATGCTTTTGGAGTTATTGCCATTTTTTCTTTAGGTAAGAGTGTTGCTTTGTTGTGGCTTATTATCATAGGTAACAATAGAAGATGTTAAAAGAGATGAAAAATGATAATCAGGTTGAGCCTTATATTGGTAATCATAAGAAAATTATGGATAAGATCCAGAGTTTAAATAGTGATGGAAATTTTCCTATTTAGGACCCAAATATTATCTATTCATAAAACTGACACCCAACTATTATTTACAATTATATATTGATCAAATTTTGAAGGGCATGTCAAATTTACCAAATATACATTGCAATGATTCATTTAACTCTCAATGATTTGATTGTTGCATGCTCAAATGTGTGTTTGATAGTTAATTATTTTTGCTTGGGCATACGTTTCATAAATATCATTGTTTTGAAAATTGGACCGAACTAGTCAGATTGACCGGTTCAACCAAGAACCGGTTGGCTAGGCGGTGGATTTCCTCTTAAACTAGCTTTGCTATAAACCGACTGTTCGACCACCAAATTGGTGAATTTGTCCCGATTTTTAAAAGCTGTTTGGTTCAATAATTATCTATTTTATATAATTATTTTTTAAGATAAATTTAATAAATTAAAATAAATTTATTAAATTTAAATTTAAAATAATTTTAAATTTTATAATAATTAAATTTTAAATTAGCTCCAATAAAGTTGACTCATATTTCATCACTATTCATGTGACTTCTTTGGTCATTCAATTCACAAAAAAGCTATATAAATTTATAAACAATACTAATCTAAAGTGTCTAAGTGATGTGAGACTAAAGAACTAAAGTGAGTTTTTCATGTTAACAACACAATCACTATATTTTTAAACATAATTTTTATAATGTAAATAATTTTTTTTAATGTTAACCATTAAATCTTGAACCTCTCTCTTTTTCGATTCTATCTTCGATATGATTTTTACTACTTTGGTAAATATTATTTAACTTTTAATGTTAACCATTGAACCTTGAATCTCTCTCTTTGCTGGTTCCATATTCGGTTTGATGCTTACAACCTTGGTAAATATAAGTATAATTCTTATTTATATTTAAATATATAATATAAATTAGTAATTATTTATATTAAATTAATATATTTATATATGAACTAAATTTTCTATTTATTGTGAATTAAAATCAATGATTGGGATATTTACATTTAAATTTAATATTAGTAATTTATTTATATTTAAATATATAACATAAATTAATAATGATTTATTTTTTAAAGTTCAAGTTATAGAATATAGTGTTTATGTATTAATTTATTTGTTTTTTAGTCCCAAAATTATATTATTCATAATTATTACATTGTTATTTCATCATTTAAATATTTTTAATATTTATTATGCCATCTCGTTAGATCCATGTTCAACTGGGCCAGTTGATCATGAACCTCTTTCTTTTCAGGTTCTATCTCCGGCCTGATTTTTACAATCTAGATAAATATGATGGTTGGGTGTTGTACACATAATATAATAATATATCTGGATCAAACAACCTTAAGGGGCTGTTTGGTATCGGATTTACAGCAGGATTTAAGTCGGATTTATGGCATAAATCTGAGTAAATCCGCCTAAATCTAAATCCTATCATTTGACGGATTTAACAGGATTTGGCCGAAGAAGGGCGCTTAAGAAAGAAAGATGGATATCTTGGCAACGAGCAAGGGCAAGCTCCCGTAGTCGTCGTTACTTCCGAAAGAAATATATATGTATAACCTCAAAAAATGCATGAAAATCTTTGCATTCTACAAAACAACCCCTTAGAATGCTATTCTGCAGACAACTTCACATCAGATATAACACCCAAAACTAATTAGAACACGCTCTTAAGATATTATTTAACCATCATTCCTTTCACGTCTTAATTGTTTTGCAGTGTTCCAAACATCTTCTAAACCTATAAAATACTTATGATTTTTATGGGCATGCCATCTATAAAGCAAATAGGCCATTCAGTGCTAAATTTGTGTCGGACGGTGGCAATATTAATGCCATACAAGCTGACTAAGTTATGAGCGACTATTTATCATACAATAAGCTTGTAATGGCCACATGATCGATACTGAGCAATTTTATAAAAGATTATGTTTATTTTATTTAACAATTAGTTTGTATGTTCTAAATTATTTCATCCCAGTTGTCCAAGTTTTGGCTGTTTACGTTATACTTTCTGCTTCAGGAATTTTCTTTGGATTTTATGATTTGCTGTGCATTGAATTGTACTAGAACATTTTGTTAAACTTGTTGGCAAGTTTCTTCTCCTATTAGCTTGTCCTATCCAATAAAATCATAAATTGTGATGACAATGCTATTATTTTATGTTCTGCATTTCAAGTTTATATTTTGGGGCGTTCGTTACATAAAGAAAATGAAAATCTTTGTGAGGATCTCCTGGAAGCTGGTAATTTTTAAATCATTCATTGCTTCGTGGCAATTAGAACTATTTTGCCAATGCAAGTAAATAAAATGCTCATTTTTTTTCTCTAAATGATCACTTTGATTTTAGAATCTGATTATGTTCTAAATGCAATATGTCTGATTTTGTGATTTTCATGGGTGCAACTTTTTTTTTGATAGAATTCTGAAATATGAAGTGGTTATGATTTATATCATGTTCTGCGACATTTTAGTTTTGTGGCCTGTCTGAAGGGCTATAGATTTTTTTTTTAATTTGAATTTCGTTATGAATTGAAACTTTTTGATCAGCAAAGATGGACTTTTCTTTTGAAAAATTTTTAAGAGAATTGGCATTGCCTGTTGATTCTGTGTGGAAATGTGGTTTTTTTCTAGGGCTTGTTATGGTGTGTTGAGGTTTATCATGGAAAGCGGCGCCAAGGGATGTGAGGTATGTTTAATTTTCATTGGTTGATTTCTATCTTTTATTGGATTAATTATTATGTGCAGACTCCGAACGCCGTTCGGAGATCAACCAGAATGCACCTACATAATCCTTCGCTCGGTACCGTGGCTCGGTACTTTTCGGTATCATTCGGTATCGCGGCTCAGTACTACTGACTTGACACATTCTGGTTGTTATCCGGACGGCATTCTGCATCTGGTCTCCGCATATAATAATTTCTCCCTTGGGCTTTTTACTTGTGAGATGCAGGATTTATTTCCCCTCTTTTATTTTCCTTGCATGATTTTTTAGGTTATTGTTAGTGGAAAACTTAGGGCTCAGCGTGCCAAATCCATGAAATTCAAGGATGGATACATGATTTCATCTGGTCAGCCTGTGAATGAATACATTGACTCTGCCGTAAGGCATGTTCTTCTCAGACAGGTAGGCTTTTGTTTTATGGCATTCTTTTCTTCTCTTCTTATACCTTATATTAAGGTTTCGTTAGTGTTTCTTAAAACAATTTTTTAGTACTAAAAATCTTCTTTAAGAAGCAATAAGAAAACCGTCGCAAGCGAAACTTTAAAGAACAACTTCCTGATTGAGCTTGGCTCAATGTTATTTGATCTGAACTTCAGCTTTGACCTTTATTGATTTCTTGTCATAATTAGGGAGTTCTGGGCATCAAAGTGAAGATTATGCTTGACTGGGATCCCAAAGGCAAGCAGGGGCCAACAACTCCTTTGCCTGATCTGGTTACAATCCATCCACCCAAGGAGGAAGAAGAGTATGCAAGGCCTCCATCTTTGACTATGCCTACTGAGATTGAAGTCCCTGCTTAGATTTATGAAATGCTTTCCTTTCTCTTTAGACTTTTCAAAACAAGCTTCTATTGTTTTTTGTCTCTGAATTTTGTTCATGTACTGATGGAACTCTCACATTTGGATTTCGAACAGTTCTTTTCATAAATCAAGATGGATTGTTTTAAGAAGCTTATTTCCATTTTTTTGTTTTTGTTTTTATTTTTATTATAAAAGTTAGAGATTATTATGTGTTGAACAGTAAAAACATAGTTACTGTACAACTACGATTTTATTGATCTCAGTAAAAAAAATAGAACGAACGATTTTCTGTGTCCTGATTCTGCACGTAATAATCTTTTCAAACAAAAATATCAAGAGGCAAGCCTTTCATCCGAAATATTTTAGTGCATGTTGAAAAATGGAATTATGCAACAAACAAATTATAAAATTATCTTTAACATAATAGTTTTACTTTCATATATGAAATTAATAAACAAATAGTATATTTTAAATTATTTTTTTTATTATTAAACAATCAATTGAGTACTGGCCAAAATATTTGATCAAAAATTGAAATGTATTTACTTTTTAAGATAAATGTGATAAAAACAGTTAATTGAAATTTTATTATATTTATTTTTTAGAAGAAATTTAATGATTTTGGAAATTTTACTTGTGAAATATTTGCTTGAGATATATCCGTATATATTTTATTCCCAAACAATATTTATTAATAATGTTAAAGAATGATTGCTTTCAATTGAAATTTTGACTTTGTAGCCTCAAAAAAATATATTTGAAAAAATATGTTTGTAGTTTATTTTTATAGGGGAAATATGCTCAATTTTTTGTTGAGCCAAATTATCCTCTTTTGAGTCTCCCCTGTGAAAAACTATTAGGACTGGACACCGGACGTAGCTCTACATCCGGACACCAATAACATGTCGCTACGTGCGGCCTGACGACCCGACCCGAACCGGAACCCAATATTTCTATGTTCGGGTATTGCTTGGTATTGCTCGGTATTGCTATGTATTGGTCGATATTGCTTGATAATAATGAGAAATACCGCTATGTCAAGACCAATACCGAGCAATACCTAGCAAAGTCAGGGTATTGCTAGGTATTGACAGAATGATATTTCTCGTTATTGCCGAGCAATACCGGGCAATACCTAGCAATACCCCGATATGCACAAATCAAACAATACATAACAATACCGGGTCCGGGTCCGAGTTGGGTCGTCGGGCCACGTGGTAAAGAGTAAGAGCATGTGACAACATATTATTGGTGTCTGGATGTAGAGCTACGTTCGATGTCCAGACCTAATAATTTTTCCCTCTTCTCTTCTATATCATAAGTCCTGTTGTTGTCTTCCCCAACAAGCCCACATCATGAAATTTGATTGCTCCTCACATTATCAACCCACTACAAGTCCATCATGAAATCCAGTCGTAGGATGTCTGTTCTAACTTAGGTTTTGTTTGGGACGGTTTTTTTATTGCTTCTTAAAATAACTTTTTAATATAAATATTACAATTTTTTTAACTAAAAAATTGCTTTAAAAAACATTTAGAAGCCGTCCCAAACAAAACCTTAAATTCGAATTCAACCTAATTTTGATTTATGGTTTAATGGAGAACCAATTCAAATTAATTTATTTCTTTAATAAATATAAGAGAAGTAATTTTATGTGAAATAAAAATTTCAGCTTATTTTTTAAATAAAATAAATAAGTGGTATTTTTTTTTGGGTGAGTAATATGAATCAATTTCTTCTTTTAAGTTAATAAACCCAACAAGGTCATTTCGGTAATTACAAGTGTATCTCCCGCCGCTTTTGCCCCTGGCGGCGGGTTGCTTTATTAGGGTTGAAGGGTTGAGCGATCTATATAGGATTTCCAAGCGGCCGCCTGGCGCCAGTAAACCCTGTTGCCGGAGTCGGTCTTCTGTCGTGCAAGATGGCTTTTTGGGGTTGAAAATTTTCTTCAATCCTTTCGAATTTTTTCTCACTTGTCTGTTTGTTCTTACTTCCTACCTCTTCTTCGTTTTCTGTTACCTCAGGTGTTGAAATCAGGCCTTCTAAACCGTATATTCATAATTTTGATCAATCCCGCGGCAGGCTTCGCATCTCTCAGGTAAGTTAAAAAAAAAAGAAGGAATTTTCACTTTGGAGAATGTTTATCTCTGGTCATTCATACTTGGGACCTGTGTTTTGATCGTTGTAAGTCTTTTACATTCAAATATGGATTGCTTTGCTTTGCGGCCATGGGATGTTAGTCTCCTACTTCATAGACTATTATCCTTGTCTCTGTAGTTTTATCTGAGATTTTAAACTTTTCACCAAGTTCTGTTTTCTAGTATTGGATTATTGGAAGTTTGATTGCTCTTTATATTATGCTATTTATTTTGGTTTACAGAAGAATCTCGACTACTAAAGTTAAGATATTGCATTTGGAAATCCTCTTTACGTAAGATTTTATGTGGATTATGCAGGCAACACTAGGTGATGGTAAATCTACATCCAGGAGCACCATGCAGTGCAATGTTGGCGACAAAAGCCCTGTTTTACTGTGCAGTTTGATTCCCAATGTATCTGAAACTTGCCATTTGGAATTGGAGTTTGAAGAGGATGGAGAAGTCATCTTCTCTGTCCTTGGGCAGAGAAGCATCCACTTAACTGGCTATTATCTTGGCCATGGACGCAGCTTGGATGGAGATGATACGTATCCTTTTAAGGCTTCGTTTGGTTACCCGATGCTAGTTTTAAAAACTTTGTTTGAGAGAATGAAGTTTTCTAATGGAGAAGCCAATACTAAAAATCTTTTGAAGCCAATACAAAAATGAAGTTCCGTCAAAAAACAGTTTTACAAAAGTGTAACATACAAACAACAATCTAAAAATAACTTTGCCGTTTTGAAACAGAAAAGGCAAATTTAAGCTTTCTCAAATAAGGCCTAAATTGAAGCTGCAACATTGAAATGCTAATGATCCTATATATTTTGCGCTGATTTTTAAAATTTTTTATGCTAGAACATTTTCCTTGACCATTTCTTAGTGAATCCTATGGGGAAGATATTGCTGAATCTGATGCTTCTGATAGCTATAGTTATGGCAGTGAAGATGACTATGAGTCTGATTTTATAGATGATGCTGATGTTGCAATATACTCAGAATCTCGGAGGCCCAAAAGCAGCGGTAGTTTTGATATCTTTTGTCCCTCCAATTGATATAATTTTATCTCAGATAACTCCATATATGTATTTTCATTAGTGTGCTTTCTGTAAACGCACTTATTTCCATTAGTGTTTTCTGCTAGAAATAATCTTGTGAAGATGGGCATCGTCGGGCATTGGGTATCCTCCTGTTAGGAATCTCAACAATCATTTCCTCCATATTCTCTAACACACTGTTCTATTTGCTTGATTTTCCCTCTCCTTTTCATTGACTAAGTAATTTGCATTAGTTAGTTTGCATGGATATTTGACTTCTTTCTCTTAAACTTTTTTTTTTCATGATTTGGTCAGGATGGATTTCTAATTTTTTTAATTAATCATGCTTGTAGATATGAAGCAATATTCATTTAGATGTCTTGCATTGAGAGTGTAACTGCAGATTCTCTCTTTGCAGTAATTTTTTATTATTTTATTAATTGGCTTTCCTTTAGTTTTGATGGATAATTTGAGCTTGGAGATAGAGGCGTCATGGGATTTACTGATTTAGGGTTTTGTTGCATTTGCACACACCATTTGATGGAACCCTTTAATGGTTTGAGGCAATTTTGAATGAGCTTTTTGCTGAATTCCCCATTGGCATGTTCTGAACACGCACTTGTTGGCTTTTGTGTCTCCTGAAGTGTTGTCATCGTGGCTTCCTAGAACTTGTGTGAATTTCAATAGCTGTTTGATTATTGCCCAAAATATAAATTTTGATTTGCATTTCCGAAATCTAATTATGTTTGCTCTGGACTAAAATCACCTTAGCTGGAAGGAAAGAAATTTCTTTAAAAAGTGCTATAAAAACTTTTTATGCTACTAGTTTTCATACTTGGCAATATTGCTATTAAAAAAATATTGAAAATAAAATTGCAGATCTATAAAGCTAAATGCAAGTTTCAGTTAAATCCGATGAATATATAGCACTACTATTCACAAGGAAAACTTAAAATTTGAATTTAGGTATTTTATTTAAAATAAAATACTAATAAATATGATAATTTATACTGTATGCTGTTAAGGGAAATATTATAAAACATATAGCAACAAATTTTAACGATATTGTTTAGTCATAGCAACATATTAACATATTACAAGCTTTGGTTAAAACATTTTAAAGAAAGTATTCATGAAATTAAAACACTAAAAAAATTACAAATAATTCATATAAACGAAATAAATTATCACTATGTTTTTTTTTTATTCATCGTCATAATGATATAAACCATAAATCTTAATATTAAATGTTATTATAAAACACAAGTTTAAAATAAGATTTATGGTAAACATTCATTTAAAATTTAAATATGCCATGAGGATTATGGTTCATGCTGATTTCATTCACTTTTATATTCTTCATACGAGATCTCGTATGTAATAATTCTATCGTCATTGAATTCTATCTTATTATAATATTCATCATTGGATTTACGGTGATTTTTATTGATGTAGAGAAAGCATATGATAAAGTATCAAGATAAGTGCTTTGAAGTGTTCTACATAAGAAAGGGGTTAATAATGCTTATATTCAAGTCATTAAGGATATATATGTAGGAGTTGTTACTCGTGTTCAAACATAAGGTGGCTTGACCAAGTATTTTCCTATTTCAGTTGGATTACTTCAAAGATCAGCCTTAAGTCCATATCTTTTTGCTTTAGTTATGCATATTCTCACGATACATTTGCAAGAAGTTGTACCCTGGTGTATGCTTTTTGTTGATGATATTCTTCTTGTTGATAAGACTAGAGAGAGTTGAAGGTAAACTTGAATTATGGAGGTCAATCTTAGAGTTTAAAGGCTTTCATTTGAGTAGATCTAAAATTGAATATGTGGAGTGTAATTTTAGTAATAATAGATTTAGTGGGGGATTGAGACTTTGGGCGATCAAGTCGTTAATAAGAGTACACGTTTTAGATATATTGGGTCTATTGTTCAAAGTGATGGTGAAATAGATGAGGATATTATTAGTAGAATTCAAGTTGGATGGTTGAAGTGGAGGAATGCATCGGGCTAGTTGTGTGATAGAAAAGCCCTTCTCAAATTTAAAAGAAAATTCTATAAGCTGGTATTGAGACGTGCAATGCTTTATGGTGCAGAATGTTGGCCATTAAAAGAGAAGCATAGTATTAAGTTAAGTGTTGTAGATATAATGATGCTCAGGTGGATGAGTGACTTTAATTTTAGAGACGGGAAATGAAAATGAGCATATACGTGAAAAGGTTGGATTAGCTCCAATGGAAGATACGATTAGAGAGAGTCACTTTAGATGCTTTGGTCACAGAAAATGTTGGCCTTCTAATCACCCAGTTAGGAAAATAGATGTATTTGATTTGACTTATGTTAAGAAAGGTTGAGGTAAACCTAAAAAGACTTGATTAAAAAATATTGGAAATGATATCTCTTTATTAGATTTAGATAAGAATTTGACTCTTAACATGACACAATTAAGAAAAAAGATTCATGTAGTCGACCTCACAGAATGGTTTAAAGGCTTGTTTTTGTTGTTGTTGTTATTGTACTCAAATTAGATATCATTGAATTCAATATAATTTAAAGTAAAATAATAAATTAACAATTCAACTAAGTAATTAATTATGTTCCTTTTTTGAAGCTTCAACCCCACTTTGCTTTGTTCTTTTATATGATTATGAAATAGAAATTGCTCCTAATTCAGTAGCTCTAAAGATATTATTATTAATATCTTTATTCTCTTCATAAGCAAAGGCCATTTCTTCGTCTTCAACTTCAGATCTTTTTTTTATATTATTCATTTTTCATCGTATAGTATATCAACAAAAAATTCATTCCATCTTCACTATTCATTTGTCTCTGTAATTTGAGGTTTCTATATGTTATTTTTTTTATTAAACATAATATAAACAAGTTGTATTCTTTATTTAATAGAATAAAATATAATAGTAATAATACATAATACAAAAATTATAAAATATAGCTTGAATGAAGTGTTGCCTCAAATTGCTTCAAGGTTTATGCCTCATTTAAGCCTCAAGACACTCCTTGATTGTCTTAATTTGAGGCACACCTTGAGGCGTGTGCCTAGAACAATTTTTTAAATCATGGTAAATACAACCAATCTAGATGGTTTTTGTTTGAAAGTATTATGAGGTTATTATATTACACGTACCTATATAATAAATTTTATGTGTTTTTTGGTTTCAAGCAAACAAAATGAGAAGTTAAAATTTTGAGGTATTAAAAGAAACTCATTTTTCTTGCATTTCTAAATTGGTTGATTTCAAAATTTTATGCCCCTTTCCTCTCCTGAGCCCCTCAGTTGTTGGCGATACCCCACGAGCTTCTACAATCATTAACGACCACCCCTGAACACCTTCCCCAATTCGCACAAATCTCACCCTACCACTGCCTCCCTCTCATGCCCCTGTCTTTGGTTGTTGACGATCTCTCTCAAGCCCTCTTGTTGCCAATGCCCCCTCCTTGAACCTCCAAATTTTGGTGTCCTCACTTGAGCCCATCCCATAGATGAGAGAGAGATATAAAGAGGTATTTTAATCTATTGGAAATATATTCTAACAGTCACACTCAAAAAAAGTATTTGATTTGCTTCTAATCAAATAACTCTTACATTTCCAAGATATTATTTTTTAAAATATTCAACCAAGCAATCCCTTAGTTACATTTACATTGTGGGCTTTAATTAATATACATGCTTTACTTTATTACGAAAGTCCTTGGAAGTTAGTTCATTATGTGTTTGGTTCATCCTTGCAATTTTGATTCATTCACGCTTGGAGCTGAATTTGATGTGTCTTTAGAGTCATTTTTTTGTGTTTGAACTTGGTTCATATTGAATTCGTCTTGATCTTCTACTTCCTACCCTTTAATGGGTCTCACTACTAACCTTGTGCTGGGTTTATCCACAAACCATTGTATTAAAGTTTTCTATTTTATGGTTAATATGGGTCAATCATGGTCTGTCTTGATGATCGATTTTGAGGGAAACTTCTTATATCAATGTGAGGCTAAGGTCATCTATCAGGGACTTCTCTTTTTGTTGTTTTTCATCTAAATATTTTTTATTGGTTTTTTACTTTTTTTTTCGTGATTGAGATTTAATCAAATATTTTACAATTGGATTGTCCTTTCATGTTGTGCACCTAGTCGCTATGTGATTTTATTTCGCTCTTTGATTTCTTGCTAAATTTCACTTTTTGGCAATATTCAAATATTAGTTGACACGTATTACATGTTTTTTTATTGATTTTAAAATAAACTAAGCTTTACATAAAGTAATATTTAGTGAACTGTGAATTCTGATTCTTTGTGAACCTTCTTTGTTTGTTCCTTCTCTTATTGCATTAGTGAACTTTAGATCCTAAGGCATCCTGCCAGCTTGGTTGAATATGGTAAATGATTTAGTGGTACTTAGGATGGCCTTTACCCAATCAGTTATATGGATTAGTTTGTAGTTTGTACAAATGTAAGTACTTTTATCTTTATCGTTATAATGAGCATATTTGATGCGGAGCATTTTAGCCAAAAATGTTCCTAGGATTATCTAGTTTAGTTTGTTACAAGTTATTACATGTTTTCTAGAATCTTCTAGGTTTCTCTAGTTTTCTACTTATTATATATATATACATTGTGTTAGAGGAATGGAGCATTGATGAATATTATCTCTTTTGAAGTATTTAAGCTTTGTGTTTATTCCTGGATTGGGGATACCTTCAAGCAATTCCAATTCTTCCGATGACCCCTACATCAATACTTGTCATACTAATCTATGCTAAAAGTGTAGAGTTGAGTTGCTTAATTTGGTGAAGGATATAGGCAATCTCCAATTTTCTTATATGTACTTCATTTACTTTATCTTTAGTTGTGATTGAGGAGATTGAAGATGATGAAAAACAACATCGCAACTTCCGTCGCCTAAAAAAGAAGCATGAGATTAGTGATTCTGAGGATGTTGAAATGGGATCCCAGCAGCTTGTTGTAAGGAACAAAGGATCTACAAAAGAGGAAAGTGAAGATGATGATGGTTTTCCCATTTGTTTCACCGAGGAGGGTACAATTTCCAAAAAGAAGAAAAGTGATGATAAGAAAAGGAAGGTTAATGGCAGTACTCAAGATACCGTTTCTGTTAGGTTTGTCTTATTTATTATCAAATTTAATGTACATTTCAGTTTCTTTTTCTTAAATATTTTGCTATTTATTTTTTCTCTCCTGGCAGTAAAGCTAATACAGATCGCGATTCCAGGATGCCAGCTGAAACTGCTTCTAAACATAATGAAAAATCAAAGAAAAAGAAGGAAAATGATGAAAAGCGTTCTATAGGATCTGAGAATGAAGAGAAACAGAATAAGCATAAGGAAAATGTCAACGTGGAAAACAATTCTGAAACTGATACTAATCTTTCAAAAGAAATTGAAGGTCATGCTAAGGAAAGCCTAAATGGAGTTAAAGATACTGACAAGTAAAGAGCAATACCGACAATCTTGTTGTTTATTAAGATTTCATTAGGGACGGCTTTCTTATTGTTTTTTAAAGCAGTTTTTTAGTGCAACAATTTTAATTTTTTAACTAAAAAGCTGCTTTAAGAAGCGGTAATAAAGCCGTCCCAAACGAAACCTAAGTCTGTTTTTTAATTTAGTGGATTTTTTATCTTACAGTGATTGTGATGCTACTGTTAGGTCTGGTGATCCTGATGCCTGCAAGCAGAGTAAGAAAAAATCCAAAAAGAGAAGGATTAGTGAAGGTGCGTCTGATGAGCAAGACTCGTTCATGGAAGACATTGACGCTGATAAAATACCAAAAGAGGACAAAATGACTGTGGATGAGTAAGATATAATGGTTTTACAAACGAAAATCTATTTTTATCTGATTTGAATATTGATAATTACCGAGTAATTTACATATCTCGTGATTTTTTACTCTGGAAATTCTTATGCTGATTTTAGACCTGCTGCTACTGACGTAAATGTCACGAAGAAAAAGAAGAAAAGCAAGAAAAAGAATAAAGATTCTGATATAAAGCATGAGGCATTAGCAAAGGAGAAAGCTGACCTAGCGGTGAATGGTGTTGATGAATTGAAGCAAGGATCTCAAGCTATCAAAACTCGAACTTTTCCTAATGGTCTTATTGTAGAGGAAGTTTCTATGGGTAAACCAGATGGCAAAAAGGCCTCTCCTGGGAAGAAGGTATATGCATATAGTGTTTATTGTAAGGCTAACGGTCACAAAGTTGATGTTTTTATGCATAGTTTAATATTTGGAGTGCGTATTTGATATTAGTTGTGCCTTGGTTCCTATGGTATGCCCCTTGTTGGGTTATAAAAGAAAATTGTAGCTGGATGGAATCAGGAAGATAGGGTTTGGCTTTTCTTTTGAAACTCAATGTTGGACTCGTTCCATTAAACTTGCCTTGCACTTGTTAGTATTCTTGGGGATTATGAAAGTTCTATTTCAATCACCCATAGCAAATAAGGCAGAAAGAAGAAGAACACACAAATTATACTAATAATTTTATATAGATTGATCAATTGATAGTTATATCTGTTCTCATCATTGCAACTTTTTTTTATATATTGGTCACTATAATTTTACACTGTGAAAGATGTTTCTCCGTATGATATAAATTATTATGCTCCATAATTAAATAAGTATTTTTGGATATTGTTGCGTGGTGAGCCTTGATGGCTTCTTATTTTTGAACCTTTGCTCTAGCTCCCAAGGAGAGATGCCACTTAACCGACACATTTTAATCTTTTGTTTTTCAATGCAAAGGTGTCTTAGGGATGCTATTGAGTTCAAGCTTTTGTTGCCCATATTGTTTGGGATGATTAATGCATTAGCTAACATATACCCATTATAGGTAGCAAGGAAAATGTCAATGCGCTTGTTTTTCTATTTAGAATGAAGAGTCAATTGATGGATAAAAATTCTTTTACTATCCAAATGGATTGTAGCTTATTCTGCATAGAAGATTAATACACTATTTATGCCAATGAAATTTATTCTATCCCTACTGTTATATTGGACAATGAAATTTATTCTATCTCTACTGTTATATTGGAAAGAAAATATAAATGTATAGAGACTTATCCACTGATCTTCTATTCTTTCTTTTTTACACCTCTTCTTACTAAAATAGCTGTAACACTAACTTTTTTTTTTCTCAAATCTCGTTTTTCTTGTTACAGGTATCAGTTCGCTATATTGGCAAATTAAAAAGCGGAACTATTTTTGATTCAAACATTGGTCAAAAACCTTTCAAGTTCCGACTTGGTAATAATTCAACAATTCTATGATGATCTAACTTGAAAATTAATTAAGTTTTTTTTTTCTCTTCTGTTTCTCACTACAGGCATTGGTGAAGTTATCAAGGGATGGGATATAGGTGTTAGCGGTGAGTCTCAAATGTGAAAATTTTGTGATTCTAGCATTCTAATTCTCTTATAATTCTTTCTTTGTTCTAAATTCTCATTTCAAAATTTTTTCCAGGCATGTGTGTTGGTGACAAGAGAAGGCTTACTATTCCTCCATCATTCGGGTATAAAGATTGTCTCTGTTGATTAGTTTATTGTCAAGAGTCTCTGTTGACTAGTTGGTTGTAAAGAAAAAAAAGCTTCTTAGACATTTAGGCTTTGTTTGTGACAGCTTTTTTTCTGCTTCTTGAAGCAGCTTTTTAATATAAAAATTAATTTTTTTGCACTAAAAAACTGCTTCAAGAAATAGTAAAAAAGATGTCCCAAATGAAACCTTAGCTTCGATGTTCATAATTATCTTTATTGCATTTTTTTTTTAATTCATTTCTTCTTCCTCGCTGCAGTTATGGGGCTAAAGGTGTAGGGAAGATTCCACCAAACTCTTGGCTTGTGTTTGACGTTGAGTTGGTTGATGTGCAGTGAAAAAACAACTGGTTCTCTCATGTGAGTTGGAATTTACTTATTTTTTATCCTCTCATGTGAAGAATTAGCAAAGCAAGGAGAGTTTCCACAATTTTGTTTGCAGATACTATGGTCATAATATTATTCAATTTTTTTTTATGGTTGAATTTAATGTTTCTTAAATCCCCATGGAATGTGATTTTGAGCAGGTTTTTCAACTCTATCATTCAAAGCAATGAGCTATTTTTTCTTATTTATGTTGTGCTCATTCTTGAATATAAAGTCTACTTAAAAGTTTAATGGAACTTTGATTTGATCTTTGATTAGCGCTTTGCATCAAAAATTTTATTTGATTATTGGTAGAGGTAGACCTAAAAAGGCTTGGTTATAAAATATTAGAAATTGTTTTTCTTTGTTAGATTTAAACGAGAATTTGACTTTTAACAGGACAATGGAGAAAAAAGATTGATATAGTTGATCCCATATAGTGAGACAAAGGATTGTTTTTTTGTTGTTATATTGGTTCATTTTTATAATCCTGACAATTATAATTTTATCGGAGATCATCATCGCTGCAATAAGAGTAGCTGTGATTGGCAACAGCTTGCTCTATTGCAGCAGATGGTGATTCTTGGATTGAATGTTGAGGTCTGCTCAATTCGATCTTTTGAGCAGATCTTGGCAACAAGATAATATTCCCTGCGAGAAATAGTTAAATGTGAGGATTTTTGTCACAATCATTGCTACTGTCCTTAAAGCCATTAGAGAGGTTTGGATTGTTTCAGCTAACAATAGTGATGTGAATGAGAGTATGGAGATGAAGATAGCTGAGATGATAAGAAATTGAGAGAGTTGGGCTGTGGGATTTGCCAAGCCAGCTTTCTAATCCTACGAGGACTCATGTGCTGGAATTTGTATTCGGTGCGACGCCAGATGTAGCTTTAGGTTCGGACGTTAATTAAATGACGTCATGTAGCGTCCCGACAACTTGAGGATCCGACTAGATAAAAACTCAAAATTTACTAATTTAGTACGTGCTTTTTCAAATTACCGCGCGGGCCCGAAGACCCGATCTGGATCGCTTGAGGCTAAGATTAGCTATTCTATTTTTATTTTTTAATTTGAAAATTCTTAATTAATGATAATGATCAAATCTTAATATGGGCACTAATGTTTCTTTGATATATATTTTCTGAAATTCACTTGCCAAATTTTTGAAAAATTTATTTACTTATTAATATGAGAGAAGGGACTTGCTTGATATATGAGAATAAAGTAATGGCTCATTTGGTTGTTGAAAGAAATAAATATATTTTTATAAAGTAATATTTTAATTTTTTAATTTTTTTGAGTGATATTAATACTAAAATTTAAATAACAAATCTATTAATTTCACCACTTTAAAAATCTTACTGTTTTTTTGAAGTTATTTTTTAGTAAATTTTTTTTATACTAAAATGTTATTTTAAAAAGGAAAGCTATTCCAAATAAATCTTAAATTTTGTATAAGGGCATCAATTTCATCATATTATTTTAGAAATCATCATATCCTTTCTCATCCAGGTTGAGATAAGGTTTTCCATTAAACCCATCTAAGTCAGGGACCTGATTTTGTCTTAAATTCAGAAAATAATCTTCCAATTACATGATTCCATCAAGTGATTTAAAATTTTAAAACTAAACAGCCAAAAAAATCCAAACTTTCTCTCCAAATCAGCCAAAAAAAAAGAAAAAAACAGATTCATATATTATCAAAAGATCACAGAATTTCACAATTACTGCATAAATATAAGAGCAGCAGACATAAAAGAAGAGGAAATCAAATACATTTTCTCATCAAGTCCTCTTAACTGGATCAAAATTAGAAACACCAATAACTGCTCCAACAATAACACCAAGAACAACACCACCAGAAACAATACTGAGCAGAAAATTCTTCAGAGAAGGTGAAAGCCCCGGCTGAGCTGCTTCTGCTATTTCAGGAACCACCATTACTGCAACCAGAGCAGCTGCTGTCAGTCCAGTAATGGCTTTCTCCTTTGCTGAAGATGAAGATGCCTTCACAGTAAGCTGGAGACCGTTTGGCTTGGCTTTCTGGGAGTTGGCTGCTCTTACAGGTAGCTTCAGTGGGTTGCTCTGTTGCTTGTGTTGGATGAAAGCCGAAGGAGACAGGACTTTTGAGATAGTTATTGATGCTGTTGCAGAAGCCATTAGAGAAGTTCGATCAGATGAAGCTAAGCAGCAGTGCTGTGAAGAAGAGAAGGGCTATTGTTTATTAGAGGAATGTGTAAGAGGATAAGGTGTTGAGACTTGTGTGGGTTTGGATTTGCCACGCTGGAGAGTAATCCTGTGTGGAGGGCTTTGGCGATTCTTCAAGGATAAGGTTATCTCTTCTCGTGAAATATAAATGGTAGAAATATTGTGAAAATCATTTATTTTATTATTTATAGTTCATTATTAAAAAAATATTTATTAAATAAATATTTTGCACTATAAAATGCCATTTATTTACTTATCATAAAAATTAAAGGATTGCATTGTCATCATTTATGCCAATTAAATATGATTTTTTTTATTTCCCTTTTTATTTAATATCAGGAGGAATTAATGAATTATTAAATTTCATACTTTAAGAAAAATATATTATCTTAAGATTTGTATTGCCTAAAAATCACCCTTGTGGTTGTTTTATGTGATATAGAAGGTATTATTCATATTTATAAGTGCTGCATAGGGACCATAAAGTCAAGGAGGCTGTATAGTTCATGCCTTCATGGAGTATATTATAAGTGAGCTTAGGTTTTATTTGAGAAATTTTTTTTATTATTCTAGCACAAAAATTTTTAATTAATTTTTTATTTATTAAAACGTAATAAAAAAATTGTCTCAAATAAAATTTTAATCTAATCTGCGAAGCAACTAATATAGAATAACATCCGGATTCGCCTCTGTACAAATCCGGTCGCCGCCCGTAATCATTTTTCCTCATTGTCTAGACTTCAAACCAGGCTATTACTCCCAACCCCCTTTATTAAATTCATGATGTCATATGAATCTTTGAAAATCCTTAACTCGTCAACAAGAACTAGTAGAAAAACAGCCAAATCCTCCAAGTCTAATCACTCAATATGAGAATATAAGAATACAAATTTCCTCTCAAATTAATTTAGAATTAGAAGCTGGCTCCTGGAACATCGAATGCCACCCGTACGCTACCCGGCATAACCTAGGGCTAGGGCTGCAAGCGAACCAAACGTTTGACGAGCTACACGTTGTTCGGTTCGATTAAAGCTCGTTTGTGATCGTTTAATTAGCTAAACAAACAAACTTGAACAATATTTTAAATACTCGATTTTTAAATAAACAATCTTGAACACTAATGTGTTCGGCTCATTTATGTTCACGAACAACATCATTTGAAGTTCATGAACAAGCTCGATAAAAGATTGATTCGAGTTCGATTTTGAACTCGTGAATAAGCTAAATAAAAATAATTAATATTTGACTATAAAATTAATAAATATAAATAATGATTGTCTTTGTTACATAGACAATTGCTTTTATTATAAATGGGTTTGTTCATAGATATGTTCATGAACGTATTTGTTTGATAGTTAAAAAAAAATTTGTTAAATATGTTCGCAAATAAGCTCGATAAGCACTAAACGAACGAACATGAACTGAATATGAACCAAACATGAACACTCATTAATTTAAATGAACCAAACATGAACAAAAACAATAAAGCTCGAACAAACTTGAACAAGCTGATATTAAATGAACACAAACATGAACACTCACATACTCGGCTCGGCTCGGTTCGTTTGCAGCCCTACCTAGGGCAGCTAAAATTTATGTAATCCTCTCATTTCAGCGAATTTAAGCAAAACAAAACCATCAGAATTAAAAAGACATCTCAACAACAGATAAAATATGATTTCGAAAGTTACTTCTGCTCTAAAGAAATTCAATTTCCAGTAAAAAGTTTAAAACTGCAAGGTGGTGAAAGCAAAACCTGTTGAAAACTTTGAATTTCCTTCAAAAAGCGTCAAGATTCAAGCTTGACCATTGCAGGTTGACATAGGCAATGGGTTTGGCCCAATGTAGCTGAGATGCACCTCCTGAGGCAGGAGATTGTACCGAATGGAGAGCTCTTCAAAGATCTTCTTCAACTCGAGGACAAGATCAGTTCGTCGGTTGTTCTTCTCGCCCATATTCTGATAGTTCATGGTGTGTGTCACATAGAGGACCATGTTCATTTTACTGACATTTACAATGTCCTTCACCACAATGCTGTGGTTTTGCTGCCAGTGGTTTGGTTTGCCCTCAAGGTACCTGTGGGAACATCAACATAGGAAACAAGAAATCATTAGAAAGCAATGATTTGTTAACTCTAAAAAATAAAATAAAAAAAAGTTAATCCTTGTTGATTTCTTGACTCTTATATTTCCAAATGAGAAAAGGTCCATCCTATGCAAAACACAAGGACTGCTTTAATTACTAATTGATGCTATGTATTTATAAACTAAATATTATTTGCTTGCAAATTTTTCTTATTTACTTCATAGGTGTTTATGGCTGCCTTGTTCCACTGACTTGAGGCTTATATTCTCTATAAAAACTATCTTCGGCATCCGCATTGGAATGAGGATTTAACAAGTCTTTCACCTCTAAGCTCTTCTATAAGTTTTTCAACATAATATATAACAAGAATTTAGCAACCCGCGAGGGGGGAAACTATGAAGGGTTGGACCGGCTGGTCCAACAAAATCCGGCCCAGGAAGGAGGGGCGGAATCCAGGGAGGGTATTTCGATTGATTTGGTGGTGTCCAACTAGGAATTAATTCATTATATTAAGAGATGATCAACGAGGAAAGGATTTCCTAATTGAATTTCAAATAGATTAGGAAAATATATTAGAAATGAGGGGCTGATTTAGGAGGGGAGGAAGAGAGATTATTTAAGGCTAAGTTTAGGGTATTTGTTTTTATGCAGATTTTTATTTTGTGTTTGTTGTAGCTTTTAGGGCTTCCTAGTGGCACATAGGTTATTTGGGAGAGCCGATCTACCTATCAAATTGTAGATCACATGCATCTTGCTTTCAAATTGAAGTTATAATCCAAAATCAGTCATTATTATTAATATTTTTACAATTTTTTTCATTATTTGTTCGTTGTTTTTTGTCTCCAAGGCATATCAAAATGATATCAAAGCAATGCCCTGCACCGAAATCTGAGTTATCCTTGCTGATTTTTGCTGCATATCTCCTCCCAACTGCTAATTTTTTGCTGTTTCAAGATCTTAATTGATGTTTTCTTTGCAGTTTGGAACCTAGATCCGTAAATGACAGCAATGAAAGTGAATGCATTGGAAGGCAAGACAAAGCAATTCAAAATGGCGTAGAGGTGAAGTTCTCCACAATGGAAGAAATGTTTTCATTTATAGAAAACCATATAGAGAAACAAATTGGAGGGGTGGAGGAGATGTTAAGAAGGCTCTTCAAGATGAAATAAATACTCCACCGGTAGTTCCAATTGCTAACCCTAATCCAGAATAGATCGGGACTCCTTTGACCACAACTAAGGGAAAAGGAGTCGAACAGGAAGAGTTTGACGAGGAGAATTTTTTTTTTCTTTTTACCAATAACCACCTCCTAGGGCTCCGGTAAGGGGTAAAATAGGATCTTCAGAATGGGGGACATCAAGAAGAGAGTTTTGTGGAGGAGGTGGTGGGGTGACCAACCACTATGGGGGATGGACGGAAGAAAGGTGAGATTTTCACACTCGATACATGGGGGGAAACAATAGTTGGAGAGAAAATTAGAGTGGAGATGCTAGGGTGATGAAGCTAAAAATGCCAATTTTTTAAGGGGAATGTGATCAAAGATTGGTGTATCAGGTGGAGCGTTACTTTGCTATGAATGGGTTTACAGATGGGGAAGAGCTCATAGTGGCAGAGCTTATGATTGAAGGGCAAATCTTTAGCTTGGTTTCAATGGAGGAAGATGAGGTACCCGCTCCATTCATGAGGAGAGTTTTTGTTACCAAGAGCCACCTCCTAGGGCTCCAGTAAGGGGTTGGAATATGATCTTCAGAATGGGGAATAGTATGAAGAGAGTTTTGTGGCAGAGGTGGTGGGGTTACCGACCACTATGGGGGACGAATGGAAGAAAGATGGGATTCCCACACTTGATACACGAGGGGAAACAATAGTGGGAGAAGAAATTAGGGTGGAGATGCTAGGGTGATGAAGCTAAAAATGCCATTTTTTAAGGGGAGGCTGCTCAATGATGGGTGTATTAGGTGGAGCGTTACTTTGTTATCAATGGACATACAGAGGAGTAAAAGTTCATGGCGACAGAGCTATGATTTGAGGGCAAAGCCTTAGCTTGGTTTCAGTGGAGGGAGGCGAGGTACCCGCTCCATTCATGAGGATAATTTAAAGAGGGAATGTTAGAACATTTTCGAGCCATCGGGGAAGGAGACATCCACGAGCAATTTTATGCCTTGACCCAGGAGGGTACTGGGGACAGTCATGAAGTACTGATTTTTTTTTTTTTTTTTTGAGCTACTATCGAGTAGGCTGAGGGGAATTTCTGAGAAAGGTTTGGAGAGGAATTTCATGAAGGACCTGAAAGAATACATAAGAGCAGAACTCAGGGTGTTGAAGCCAACTAGCCAAGGGGGCTGAGAGAGACAATAGAACTTGCACAATGGGTGGAAGAGAAACATAAGAAGGAAAATGTACGCATAAGCAACTACATGGGAGGCACTTATAGGAATACCTCCCCGGCCTTGGCACCGAGAACCCAAACGGTGCCTTTTTAGATAGAAGCGCCAGAGGAAAAGAGTGGTGAAATTTGTCCTGAAAGCCATTTCAAGCGCCTCATAGAGGGGGAGAAACATGATAGGAGGGCAAAAGGGTTATGTTACATATGCGACGAGAAATTTACACTATGACATAGATGCAAAAATCGTACCTTGCAGGTTCTCTTGGTGTGCGATGAGGAGGTGGTGGGCAAGGCAGAGGCAAAGAGAAATTTAAGCGAGATTTATGGGATTTTCAACCAGGATTTGAGCAGAAGATTTGACGGATTTTGGGCTCTCATGTGGAGGTCAACACTCAACCTATGTATAGATGCATTTACTTTACATTTATTCAAACAACTTCAAATATTTCTTTTACATTGTATTCATTTACACTGCATTCATTTTACACTACATTTTTTATCCAACCAAATAGTCCAAGCCTATTTTTTAATTC